GTTCGCCCCATTTGATTTCGGATTGTTGGTGGTATACTTGGACTTGGGTATGTATCCAATAACATCTGAAAGTAATTCAAACAGATAAGTTCAAACAGCACATCAAATATCATTGACAGCTTTATCGCAGAAAACAAGAAAGGTTCCTCGCAGCGGAATGCAGCGTGACCATAAATTTGTACGACATCAGCCGCCTCGCTGGAGGCTATCAGCTCAATCGGATCTATCCCTCTTTCGAGGGCAGCTTTTACGATCGTCGATCTCAAGATAGGCATCCATACTCCGTTCGATCCGTTCTGCGGGTATCCTTGTTCTGGTTTGTTTTGATCGGGAACTGTCCCATTTCGGGAAACCTTTCGATCCTTTTCTGAGAGGTTATTATTAAATCATAAATTTTACTGCCTCCAGCAAGCAGCAAAGACAGTGGGAGACCCGCTTCGGACCGTTCAATTAGGATATTCTACGAATTTGTATTTCATCCTGCTTGATTGGGTTAGCTTTTCAAAAAATAATAAACATAAATGTGCTGTCCAATGAAACTGGCGTCGTTCCGTGTCGGATGTCGATAATCATTTCACCATCAAAAGTGCATTTCTGCTGCATCAACGAACGATATGAGTGCACGAGAGCAATTTCCATCGGATCCTATAGTGGAATTTGCTGTGTCCTGTTCTAGGTGGCCACTGCTAAATGCGGATGGAGGGTGGTGCTCAGCCAAGTGAAACCAGTTCTTAATTTTGCTGCGAGTTGCGCGGAAGTGCACTCTGTTTGGTTGCTTGGTGCAAGGGTTCTTTCTCATTTCCGTTCAGATTGAATGATTTTTTTTTGGAAGCACGGTTTTGTGTTGGTGGCACTGTCGATGTCCTGGCAACGGATTCAGCAAAGGTCGTGCTTTATGTTACATAGGCAAGAAACATGGAGCGTGTAACTCTATTTTCCAATTCTAATCAGACACTGGCGAGTGACTTGGGATATCAGAAACAACCCAATTGAATTGATTTTCACTTCAATGCATTCAGTCCTCAACCTAGTTCTTAAAATGAATCATACACAGTTCAAAATGCTTCTGATTTGAAGTAACCAACTGTAGAACAATGTATTCAACAGTCATGTCATGGTGGCTTGGAAACTCATCGTTACTTCATAAGTTACCAGCTCTAAAACTACTAGGGAAAGCCCTATGGGGTTGTACGCAATGGTGACCTAGGGCTACGTGGCCTTATATAATAAATGTTATTTGTTAACTGCAGCAGAAGCTTGTGTTTTTTGTAGGAATAGGAATTTAAGCGGGGTTCTCTCTGTTTATACTCTTTAGTATGACTATGATTGCCCTGAAAAGAACAGTGAAGAATACCTCAACGACGAATCGGCACTTGGAAGAGTCTCGGCCCGGCTAATGCTGGGCACGGGTTGACCCGGTGGTTGGAAAGGCGCAGCGATGGATACCTCAACTTTGCTACGAGAAATGGGCATTCAGAAGAGTCTCGGCCCGGTTGCTTCAGGATTAGCAGCTTGGTTGCTACAGTTTGCTGGTTCCTTTTGCTGATCGTCGCGATGGTTCTACTTCCACACAGGGGTATTTGCTTTGTTGGTTATGTAACTAGTTGAGTGAAAATGAAAAATACATCAGAGATTTTCGAAAATGTCATCGATGATTAGTGTTTACCTATGGTTACTTGATGATTGAATAAAAAATAATTGCAAAAAGTAGGGTACGGCTTGTTGATTGTGAAGGTGCTACGACAAATGGGCCCTTGGAAGAGTCTCCGCCCGGCAGCTGCTGCTTCCAAGTTTGGTTACAAGATTACAGCTCTGGAGAGCATTTTGTGTGGTCGTTGGGGGCGTCTGGTTCTGAATATGGCGATGAGTGTGTAAAATGTTGCGCAATTGCATCCTCCCTATTCGCACACGCCCGAAGATCGGAGGCGAATGCCAGTTCGACTTGTTTCGTCTACTAACGACTCTCTGCTGACAGTGTTGGGGAAGCAACAATGCTACATCGACATGTTTCGCCTAGAAAAGATTCTCTGATGGCTCTGTTGGGGAAGCAGCATATGCATGTACGTTATTGATGAATTTGTTAGTTATTTCGACACTTTTGGAAAATGCTTGACATTTACCACTTCTTCAATAGATCCTAGTTAAAAAATCAACAATAAGATGCGTAGAAATACCTCTGATCGATTGGTGATAAAATTATTGAAATTGTTTCAGGGGAAACTGAGCTACTAACGTTCGAAATCTTTCATAATTTTGTTACATGTTCCGTTTCCAGTTTTCACAAAGCATACCCCCATATAGAAATAACAGACGATTTGTGTGTATGTATTAACCTTCCTAGTGCATTGGGGATTATTTTGACTCGGCGTCACTTCAAAATGCTGTAACTTTGTAACGAAACATGACAGACACCTGAAATTCCCTGACTTTTCCAAACTTTTGGAAATGAACATTTGGTCCATGGCATAATGTTTGTTTACTTCTGGATGAAAAAATAATGAATTTTGAGTCGTCAGACGGTACCGGTACATGAGGTTTTAGAAGTGTGCAGATCCACTTGTTTGTTCGGGGAATGATATGCATATGTATTTATTAGAGTTGGTCACCGCTATATGGAAAAATGCAAATTTTACCTCACCAAGCGAGAACAACCCTTTTTTGGTTACATTTGCGGTCACAACTGTGCAAAATTTGAGGACGATTGGTTGTAACCCGGCTTTCCGCATTGCGTTTGAAATTTGTATGGAAATTTGTATGGGAAAACCTACTTTTTAAAAAAAATTTATAACTAGATACCACAATTTTGCATGAACCATGCTACTAACCATGCACAAATATAGTCCAGAAACTATCTAACAACTTTGCAAAAATGGAAATACAGTGCTAGAATGCCTCTAAAAACAAGTTATTACAGTTCAAATATTTATGGGTTGAATTAAATGTAAAAAATCACTTTTTCTGCCAACACTGCCGGTGTACCAAGATTCCAAACTGAAATTATTTCGGAATTTTTAATCGTATCGATTTAATCGTATCGATTTAATCGTATCGATTTGGTATGTTCAGATGAATTATTCTAAAACAATTACTCTATCTCATATGCGCAGTTGGTGATGTGGGGGGGGGGGGTATAACACCTTAACACGCCCCTCTCTCTCATATGAATACAAGTAAAGCTTCAAACTGAAATAACTTCGGTTTCTCTGATCTTGTCAAGGTGGTACGTCAAAAACACTTACTCCATTTAATGGGCGTAGTTCTTCTTCTTCTTCTTTTCTGTTTGAGCTGTCGTCTGACAGCTCAGAGTTGGGCCAGTATGTAGACTACATGCCCAAATAGGCGTAGTTGGAATGGGGGGGGGTGGGGGGGGGGGCTTAACATGTCTGCAAATCTGGCATCTTTAGTATAATTTCTTTTTCACTGTTAACCAAACATGCTGCTCCCTTTTTGACAGTGTTATGTCATTTTCGTTGCTATTCCGCCGTACACCGAAATAATTCAGGGTATAGATATCAGCTGCACCTTTGCTTGTAACAAGTGATGTTGAGCTGTCAATGACCAGCTTTTGTTGGCGCTTACACTTTTAGCAAATATATCATATTAACAATATGATCCATTCATGCCTTTTCCAAATATTGCAATGGCGACACGCAAAATATTGCTTCACGCACCATCTAGCGTTGAAAAAGGTCAGCAACAATCATTCAATTACAATCGAAGGGTGGGAATATAGCACTTATTACAAAAGTAAGAGTCACATTATTTTCATTAATTACATTGTGAATATTACTTTAAAATTTGTCAGACATGTCACTGTTGTCATCAAATAAAATAATATGCTGAAATACATTCATTTGAAATATTAAAAAAAAAATCATTTGGTTTACCCCTCGTGACGATAAACAACTACATTGGTAGCCTTTTTGGCCACAGAGATGCTTTCATCGCTAAAAATTTGGTTCGCCAGCTAAGCGAAAGAGTGGATCATATTGTAAATATAATATATTTGCTTTTAGTGTACTACACTGCAAAAACAAAAATGACACTAGAAACGTCGCATGCATATGCTCACGAGTTTCTTTTTATCTTTGCGTTAGTGAAACGTCATATTCCCATCAACTGATTGGTAAACAAACCGAAAGTTTTTCATCTCAGTTTAACTTTAAAGTTGAATTCTGGCAACACGACCCAACCAATGTTTACTTCTGTTTCATCGAATACAAATCAAGAAGACTGGCAACTCTTCCAAAAATCAAGAGACAGTAACGGCAACGCCTCTTCTGAGCAAAAGTGGAACCTGTGCACGAGTGCATTCACACACATAGGTAGAAATAAATAGCTGTCGTTTCTTTCTTTGCTTTATGCTGACAACCGGTTAAATTCCAGCTGAAACTGAACAGATGCGTAAGTAAATTTGGTTTTAAAATTAAAACTATGGCAATGATGCCATTCACAATGATGGTGGGACCTTTCTTGATCATTAATTTTCTATCTCAGAATTATCTTCCACTTTTCCTAAGCCCTAAAGTAATGCATTTATGGGCATTCGTATGGTGCATTAGTAAAATGCACGGCTTTGGCACCTGGCCACAGCAGGGGGAGTTAAGTTGAGACGGACGGCAACTTGGCACAGTACTCGCAGACCATTTGAATGTCACTTTCAAATCCGACACTGTTGATTATATTCTATGGAAGGGGTCGGTCGATTCCAAGAATTATTAAAGCATACAGAAGATCACTATCCGGTGGTTTCATCACCGACAAACCGACATGACACTAAATTCTAACTTATGTCCGAAAATAAACGGCCTATTTAAATGTGCAGTACTCCGAATTGTCAAAACCATAGGATTTTTTGATCTAGATAAAAATAATTTGTCGAGAATAGATCAGACACAAACCAATTCATAGCTTTTGCATGCGGGTTCATGTTTTAAAGGGTGTCCACGATGAAATTGCCACACACAAAATTGATTCGCAAAATTCGAGTTTTCATCCGATTGCCATCAAATTTTCAGGGATTGAGAAATAACTATTAAACTTCATTTTACCATTTTACTCGTATTTTATTTACAGTCCATACGCAAATGCCCGCACCTTGGCCTTAACCCCGGCCATAAGATTCTGCACAACCTGTGAATCAACCGTTTTTTGCATGTAAACCCATACTTTCTTCAGTTACTCGACTGTCTTCACTACCTTAGGTCGTTTAAGAAGGTGCTGCTTCATAATCGCCCAGTACTTCTCGATGGGACGGAGCTCCGGAGTGTTGGGAGGGTTGAACATTTTCGGCACGAAATTGACCTTATTGTCCGCATACCACTTCAGCACGTCCTTGGAGTAGTGGCATGAGGCCAAATCCGGCCAGAAGATTGTTGGGACGTTGTGGGCCTTCAGGAGAGGAAGCAGCTGCTTCTGGAGGCACTCTTTTATGTACACCTGTCCGTTCATCGTGTCCTGGGTCACGAAAGGTGCACTCCGCTTCCCGCACGTGCAGATGGCTTGCCAAACCAGGAATTTCTTCGCAAATTTGGACATCTTCTGAGTGCGGACATGCTCCGGAACGCTGAACTTATCCTTGGCCGTGAAAAACAGGTTGCCGGGGATCTGTTTGAAGTCGGCCTTCACATATGCTTCGTCGTCCATGATGCAGCATTCAACTTTCGTCAGCATGTTGAGGTACAACTTCCTGGCACGGGTTTTGGCGGACTTGTTCTGCTTCTCGTCGCGATTAGGGGCCTTTTGTATCTTGAACGTTCGAAGCCCAGCCTTAGTTTTGGCCTTCTGGACAAAACTTCGGCTTAGGTGCAGCTTCTTAGCCACATCCCTAACGGAGGCGTTCGGATTTCGGTTGAAGGCCCCAACTACGCGGTTGTGATTTTTGGTGTTGTACGGAATACTTTTTCCTTCACTTCTGGGCTTCCGATCGGTGGTCAACCGTTCCTCGAACCGCTTAATCACTCGCAACACCGTGGAATTCGCGATTCCCAACGTTTTAGCGATGGAACGATGCGAGAGATCCTTGTTCTCGTGATGAATGCGCAAGATTTTATCACGCACGAGCTGTTCTTTCGACTCCATTTCCGCGAGTGTTGATCACAGGACTTTAAAACTTGCAGGATGTAAATAATGCACTATGAACTAAATCCACCCAAATTTTCATTAAATTCTACCCAACGGTTAAAAAGTTAGAGCAATTTCATAGTGTGGCAATTTCATCGTGGACACCCTTTAGAAAATATTTCCCGCGAACACGAAGCCAGATGTCAGTAGTGTGCTTTGGTCAGAAATTTTATTGTTTTTGCTATGGTCATTCATTTCGGTTTGTCGGTGGTTTCATCACCGACAAATCGACATGAAACTTAAACTTAACTCTTGATTGAGAATCCATAACGGCGAATTCAAATGTGCAGCGATTCCATCTGTCAAAACCATAGAAATTTTTTATCTAGATAAAAATAATTTGCCAAGAATAGATTAGACACGAACCAACTTATTCATTTTGTATGCATGTTCGTGGCTAGGATAAACATTTTTCGCGAACACGGCGGCAGATGTCAGTTTTGTGCTTTGATCATAAATTTGATGATACTTTGTATGGTCATTCATGTCGGTTTGTCGGTGGTTTCATGTTCTGACAACATCTAAGATTGAAATATATTCTTTATCATTACGTACCGTTTGGGATTGCAGTCCTTCAACCTTTCATATTCATTTTCTCCATCATTAGATCCTGCTAGACCTTCCGTTGGATCGTGATGTAGGTACCGGATCTTTCTTCTTTTTGAATCCTTGATTTTTCAGCAGCTTCCGAATGACGGTAGTTCACTCATTGGTGATAGAAGTTGCCAATTCCATATAATTGATTGCTTCCAACAGGCAAAATGAACAATATTTCGGTTCCTCGTTCACAAGTAAAAGTTACTTTCACTAGGTATCGATCCGAGTTTCAATCCTGTACTTGATCCACCATGACAAGTTTTTCAGTTTGGAGTTGGAAAACCACCGGCTTGCTAGGATTAGAAAACAAATTGCTGTGAAATTTTGTAGAGCAAAACAAAACAACGAGTACCGTGTTATGATTATTCGTTTCGGTGACATCAGGTCACACACAGTCACTTTTTATGAGCAGTCTCACTAGCACTTGTGCTTCAAAGTTCAACCTTTGATTGACAGAGGCGCTGTTATCAGTGACGTTTGACATTTGTATGGGAGAAGGGAACAGTTGCCAGTCTTCTTCATTTGAAGTCTTCGGTTTCATCGCAATTTTTAATCGAAATATACTGTCGTTATTTCGTGGCGTAAATTATCGGACGTGGTCGAACGCGTGATATTAGCCTTAACAATCTCGCAATCTGGTGCTTTTTTTCATATTACAGTGTTGTGTTTAGTGCATTTGTGTTCCGTGGTCTACACTTTTTAGCATACTGTCATTGCTTATCCATACCCACAAGCTGTCTCTCTCGCGAAGCGACATCTGTCAGCAAACTTTGGACGCTTCGACGTATCGCTCATCTAAGCGCTGTAGGAATCTAGGTGCTTTCGCATCCTGACCGTCGTGTAGTAAGGCATTGTACCGTGAACCAATTTTGATCTGCTAACTCTCTCAACAACATGGACATTTCCCAAGCTTGCACGCTATCCTTGAATTCAGGAAGGGTAATCACGTGCGGCGGTTCATGTGGTCTGATCATACCTGTGTGGGACTAACCAAGTTTCAATATTCAGTTTGGTTAGCAAGAGTTGGCTGTATTGGATCTGCGATTTCAATCCTGCTGTGTACGATCGAGAGAAAACAATCATCAAGGCGTTACGGAAACTTTTGATACGTACGGACTCCATGGACACACGTCTAGGAAACTACGGCGATAATCTGCGTACTATCAACAAAACGCTCTATGGAATTCAACAAGTCAGGCAATCAAACCGATCGATCGATCAGTCAACATCCTACCAAACATCGATCAGCTGTATCTCGAAGACACTATTGATCCCATCAATCGTTCGAGATCCTGTGATGAGACGTCTTTTTTCGAAGTCTTAGATGATATCAACAGCACAGGGTTGTTGAAGGAAACAGATGGGTTGAAATCATATCCAACCAGAAATCCGGTTCAACTTCTCAATCGATTGCATCAACACCAGCTGTGCGTATCCATCAACCACATGCATTACCTATCAATGAACCCCAATCTCTCACCCAGACTGGTAATGATGGCACCCAGCTGAACACTGTTAAGGCTAGCCAGTCCACCAGTGGTACTACTACCCTGCCTGATAGTCTGAACAGGAACCATCCCGCTGGCAGCAGGCCTAGTACTGGATCTCTAAGCGTTGAAAAATCGGGCCAGACACCTGACGATATGGTAGCATTCTACGTAACCCCGTTTACCCCAAACCAAAAATAGGACGACGTAAAACAGCATATCAACGATATTGCTCATTTTGACCCTTCGCCGGTTAATATTGTTTGGAGGATCTCTCATTCGTTTCGTTCAAGGTGATCGTTAGCAATACTGCATCCCACGTAGTGGGTGATCCTTGGTACTGACCAGATGGAGTTACTGTTCGTGAATTTGACCATAGTCCAAAAAACGGTTCTGCTACACCTCGTCCGAACCTGCCATGAAATCATCATCCAGTATAGATGTCAGCCCAGGACGCAATCAAACAGGTTCTACGGGCGGCCCTTATCCTTTCGGCACAGTCAAGCCACATGTCATCAGCTCCAGCCCCAGTTGTCCCGGTCCTGTGTTCGAACTCGGAAACAGGGCTGCCCAGCCTGTCTTGTCAGGCAAGTACAATTATAGTATGAACTGTACAATTTCTGCCTCCTGATACTCAGTTCAATTCCAGTTGCAGCATTATCGATAGCGCTTCTCTTTCTGACGAACTTACAAGACGAACTCTATATTCTTACGGACAAGCTTTTAGAATTTCGACCAGCAGCATCGGAGTCAGAGCATTTCCTGTCCGCACCAAAACGACCGAACTCAAGCTAGCATTATCCCGTTGTGACTACTGAGAAATGGTTGCTTCCCGATATAAGCGATGCTGAACTGACGTCAGATTACTCGTTATTTCGCTGCAATCGTAGTGAGTCCACCAGTAATCTTACGAGAGGTTGTGGTGTGTTGATTGCAGTAGAAACTAGTCTGCAGTTGACAGCTGTCTCTGTAGTAAACTGAGATCAAATTGAACAAGTTTCCGTATGTTTGAAAGCTTTCACATCGATCGCTGCTCATGCTTCGGCCGTTCAGAGCATTTGTGATCGAACGTCAGAAAATGACATCGTCTTGCTACTCGGCGCTTACAATATTCCTCATCTGCACTGGATCTTTGGCGAAGACGTGAACGGGTACCTGCCGTCGAATGCTGCCAGTGAACATGAACTCGTACTTGCAGAGTCCATATACGCGTGTGGCCTGGTGCAAATGAACTCCATCACAAACCTCAATGACAGGCTGCTCGATTTGGTGTTTGCAGATTCACCGGATGTTTTTGAAATTGTTCAACCGCCGCTTCCCCTCTTGAATATCGATGCTCATCACGTACCATTCGTTCTACAAGTTGATACTCATTTATATCTTCATAACCAAGTTGATTCTCAATCTGAACTCGAGGATTTCAACTTTCGGCAGTGTTACTTTGCGGCTCTAAATGTGAAACTCTCATCGATAGATTGGGAACACTATCTTCAAGGTGACTGTGTCAACGTACTCCTGTTTTACGATAAATTATGCAAAATCTTGCATGCTAATGTTGCTCGTCACCACCGTGCTCATAGTAGGGTCAACAGGAAGCCTTGATGGTCAGCTGAGTTGCGCAACAGGCTCCAAAAAGCCCGTAAACACTTTTTCGCATCTGGAACTGATTAAAACAGAGATTTTCTCCGACACGCTGAAACGACTTATAATGATCTTCTTGCTTCAAGTCACCATGATTATTTGCTAAGTTCTCAGTCGTCTTTGAAGTAAAACCCATCGATTTTTTGGAAATGTTGGCGCAAAGAACCAATAACCGCGTTCCGAACAATGTTAACTTCGATTCATCTACGGCCACCACGCCCGAAGAAGCTGCTAATCTGTTTTCAAACTTCTTTCAACGCGTGTTCAGTTCAACGTCGCCTCAAATTCACCCAGATTGTTTCCAAAATGTAACTTCCCATGATGTACTGCTGCCTGTCCTCAATTATTCTCGAGAGGAAGTACAGAAAGCTTTGGAAAATCTCGACGTGTCAAAGGGAGCTGGGGTCGATGGTCTGTCACCATATCACCTATGGGAAACTGCTTCAATGATTCCCATTCACAACTCCGGCAGCCTTCAACGTGTCGAAAACTATCGTGGGATTTCGATACTCTGTTGCAGTGTTGGAAAAATATCAAAAAATCAAATCTCACCAATGCCCAAGATCACGCTTTATTTTCGTAGACAAAAAGCAACAAGCAAACATCTGCGGTTGATTTTGCAAGCTGTGATATCGCAGCTCGGAATATCAAGCTAACAAAACTCACCAACTGCAAATCTCACCAAACTGTGGTGAGATTGAGTTTAATGATTTTTGCTTTACACCCGAATGCAACCGAATCTTTCATAACGGTTGGCAGCAGTCATTTCGTGTTTGCCTTCGGTGAAGATTAAAAAGAGATAGCAAACTATACTCTCTCTTTCTAAGAAAACGATGTGGAACGGAATCATTTCTGTGTCGAGTCAGCTCTCAGCTTGATTTTTGCGCGTTGTGAATAGTCTCGCAATATCAAAGGAGCTTGTAAAATCAATATCAAGCATGACATTTTGTTCCAAAATCACGCGTGATATTGAGAGCGTATGAGAGCGGAAAAATATTATTTGATTGATGATTTTGCCAACACTGCTCTGTTGTCTAGGAAAGATCTTCGATTCCTTAGTACACGAAGTCACCTTGACTGCAGCAAAACCGCTGATATCTCAATACCAGCATGGGTTTGTTCCTCGTCGCTCAACCAATCTAATGTATTACACGAGTAGTTTATTCCGAGAGATGGAACGTCGCAATCAGGTTGATTCTATTTACGTCGACTTTTCGAAGGCGTTTGACACTGTGCCGCATACCTACACCGTGGAGAAGCTGAAACACATTGGCTATCCGGAATGGATAACGAACTGGTTGAAGTCATACCTGACTGGTCGTAAAGCATTCGTCCAGGTCAACTCTGCACGTTCCAAAGCAT